AAAGGTAGGTGGATGGATGGATGGATGGATGGATGGATGGATGGATGGATGGATGGATGGATAGATGGATGCTGTAGATTAACAGACATACTATAGATCAGTGATGGCTAACCTTTTCCTCCTCAAATTGCCGACATCCATAATGTAATGTGCCCCGCCCCCTGTGCATGCGCACATGACCCCCCCCGCACTCCCCCATACATGCACGGAACCCCCGTTCCCGCTCATGTATGCGCACGCCACCCCTGTGCCCTGTTTTGGACCTAGCAGGCCTCCTGGGACCAAAAACGGGCTGCGAGGGGGCTCTTCCCCCCCTCCACGCTTGCACATGCGACACCCCCTGTCGCCCCGCATGCATGCATGACTCCCCATTCCCCACTACCACATACACACGCGTCTCCCACATGTGTGGCAGACTTGAAAATCAGCTGGCCGGTGGGAGGCGTGTGGGCATGTGCGTTGGAGCTGAGCTGGGCGGCAGCTCACGTACCCACAGAAAGGGCTCCATGTGCCCCCATGTGGCACGCGTGCCGTAGGTTCGCCATCACAGCTATAGATAGATACACTGTAGATAGATGAATAGATAGATAGAGATAGATGAGAGACGGATTAGATAGACAGACAGACAGACACACACACACACAATGGATGGGATCTGGATTAACTAAATTGTTAACTTAATTATTCATTTCTAAGTCTGCCCTGCTGATTTTCAACATTGGCTCTGGCTGTTGTTTGGGAACGTCACTTGATGTGTAGTGCAGAAATTAAAAGAAAGATTTCGCCTAGTCATCTCTCCTCCTGACTCCTACTTGAACCTAAGTGCTTTCAGTGCCCCAAAAAATTGATATCCGGAAATATTGCAATCTTTCCAGTAACTCTCAAGTCAGCTTTGACAAACAAACAGTTCTCTGCAGATATATTGCTCTTAAATTTCCGCAATCCGTAGCTACTGCTTTCATGAGCTTATTTGGTTATCTGAAGTTGACCTTTTAAGGAAGGCAGACATCATTGGCCTTCCTCTCCTTTAAAACTATTGAAATTGATGGATGAGGCATGGTAGAATATTTATTTCACTGTAAACTGCCCTGGGATGTTTGTAGTTTGGAAAAGACCTAAAAGCTGCACGAAATAAATAAATAAAATACTTCAAAAAAAAAAAAAAACTCTCCAATAGCCCAAGATAGTCCTTGACTTATGACCATAACTGAGCCCAAATTTTCTGTTACTAACTGATAGCTAAGTGAATTTTGCCCCATTTTATGACCTTTCTTGCTACAGTTGTTAAGTGAACTCCTGCAGTTGTTAGGTTAGTAGCACGGTTGCTTAGGGCAGTGTTTTTCAACCTTGGCCACTTGAAGATGTCCGGACTTCAACTCCCAGAATTCCCCAGCCAGCAAATGGGAAGGTTGAGAAACACTGGCTTAGGGAATCTGGTTTCCCCATTGACTTTTCTTGGGAGAAGGCGATTACATGACCCTGGGACATGCAACCGTCGTAAATGTGAGTCACTTGTCAAGCATTGGAATATAAATCATGTGGCCATGTGGATGCTGCAATGGTCTTAAGTGTGAAAAATGTCATAAGTCACTTTTGTCAGTGCCTTTGTAACTTCAAACGGCCATTAAGTGAAGTGTTGTAAGTCGAGGACTACCTGTATTTTAGCATCAGCAATAGCTTTCTAAATGTGTAAGAGCATCCTGAACTCCTAGGCAATATCGGGATTTAATGTTAAGAGTTTTAAAAGGAGCAAGTTGCTTTCTCTGGAACTTACACAAAACTCTGATTCACACATTGATTAACGATTAAAACATTTGCAGAAGAGATTAAAGAAAACCACCCAAATACCTATTCTTAGCTCCGATACTAATCGTACAGCTTAGCTGAGAAATGTTTAATTCTGTTTCACATTCTGGTAACGTGTTTTTTTTCCCTCTCTCTGCTTTTTCTTTCTTTCTGAGTTAGTTTTCTTTCTAATAATTTCTGTACTCGTTCAAATATTTTGGTGGTTTTTTTTTAAAGCGATTTGACTGATCTTTGGCCCTCGAGTGTCAGCTTGTATCTCTAAGGAGGGAAATCCCGCTTGCTCAGATCATGACTTTCTATCTTAAATATCTCCGCTACTTAGGCTTAATTTTTTTTATTTATTAAATTTATTTTCCACCCATCTCAATCGCAAGATGACTCTGTGTGGCTTGCAATGTTAAAAGGAATAAAACAATTCAACAATATGAATATAGTAAGAATAAAGCACTATAAACACTGTGTGGTAAGCCTTCCACTCTGAAGCAAGATGAGTGGCAAATAAATAGTCCTCAACTTACAACTGTTTGTTTAGTGACTGTTTGAAGACACAACAGCACCAAAAAAGTGACTTATGATCATTTTTCACACTTAGGACAGTTGCAACATTGCATGTGATCAAAATTCAGACGCCTGGCACTGACCCAAGCAAAAGCAATAGGGAAGCCAGATACACTTAACAACAGAGGTGGGATTCAGCAGCTTCTGACCAGTTCTGGAGAATCGGTAGCGGAAATTTTGAGTAGTTCAGAGAACTGGTAAATACCAACTCTGACTGGCCCCGCCCCCATATATTTTCTGCCTCCTGAGTCCCGGCTAATCAGGAGGGAATGGGGATTTTGTAGTAACCTTCCCCTGGAATGGGGAGGGAATAGATATTTTACAGTATCCTTCCCCTGGAGTTGGGAGGGAATGGAGATTTTATAGTAACCTTCCCCTGGAGTGGGGAGGGAATGGAGATTTTACAGTATCCTTCCCCTGGAGTGGGGAGGGAATGGAGATTTTACAGTACTTTCCCTGGAGTGGGAAGGGAATAGAGATTTTACAGTATCCTTCCCCTGGAGTGGGGAGGGAATGGAGATTTTACAGTAACCTTCCCCTGGAGTGGGAAGGGAATAGAGATTTTACAGTTTCCTTCCCCTGGAGTGGAGAGGGAATGGAGATTTTACAGTATCCTTCCCCTGGAGTGGGGAGGGAATGGAGATTTTACAGTTTCCTTCCCCTGCCAAGCCACACCATGCCCATCAAACCGCTCCCACAGAACCTGTAGTAAAAAAAAAATTGAATCCCACCACTGCTTAACAACCATGCTACTAACAAGTACAGTGATTCACTTAACCAGTGTGACAAGGAATGTCATAATATGGGATAAAATTCACTTCACAACTGATTTGTTTAGCAGTAGAAATCTTGGGCTCAATTGTGGTTGTAAGTGGAGAACTACTTGTATAAAGAATGAATGAATGAATGAATGAATGAATGAATGAATGAATGAATGAATGAATGAATGAATGAATGAAAATATAAGCTGTAAATGCTTCATTCTTCACCCCAAGGGTCTTCCGACCAATTTAATGATTTCTTCATCTATTGTGGAATTTAGAGACAGGTCAGTTTTGTGGTCATCTGAAATTATGTTAGAAAGAGTGGCTACCTTTATTACCACAAACACCCCCCAGAGAAATGGAAGACTTTGTTGTTAACCTTGTTCCTTTTACAGGCAAAGCGTTTGTCAACTCTGTCCCTTCAGTATGAAAAAAAACTGATGGACCAGCAGAAAGGCAGCGGCAGGAAGAAAATCAAGATCGTCAGCGGCCTGGTATGTGGCATTTCCATTGGCAGTAAAAGGATGTATTTCCAATAACCAGATGGGCCCCATTCACACAATGGGGAATCTATTGTGGAAAAAAAGGTGTTTTTCTCCTACAGTTTTTAATCTTCCTTATAGCAGGGGTGTCCGATCTGACCTTGGCAACTTTAAGACCTGTGGACTTCAACTCCACAGGTCTTGATCACATGATCGTGGGGATGCTGCAAAGATCGTGACGCTGAAAAAAGTCAGAAGTCTCTTTTCAGTGCCGCTGTAACTTTGAATGGTCACTAAATGAACTGAACGTCGGGGAGTACCTGTATACAGAACACGTGGAAGAGAGGGGAGAAGAGAAACTCCCCTTTTGTATTTACAGCAACCAATCATAGCGTAGATTGCATCATGCATGTGTCAGCACTTTCTAGCCAACTAATAACTTACAACGGTGTGTTCTGGCCTTAACAACGATAGCTATTTGCATTTTGCCCAATTTTATGAGCTTTCTTGCCACAGTTGTTAAGCGAATCACTGCAACTGCCAAGTGAATCACATGATGGTTAAGTCAATCTGGCTTCCCCATTGATTTTGCTTGTCAGAAGGCTGCAAAAGGTCATCACATGATCCCAGGACATTTCACATATTTAATTGTCATAAATATGAGTCATGCCAAGCGTCTGGATTTGGATCATGTGACCATGGGAATGCTGCAAAGATTCGTAAATATTAAAATTGATCATGTCTTTTTTTTTCCAGTGCTGCTCTAACTTCGAGTGGTCACTAAACAAACTGTTGCAAGGCAAGGACTACATGCAGTATCCCATGTGATTCCCTTTTGCGACCTTCTGACAAGCAAAAACAATGGAGAAATCAGATTCATTTAACCACCATATTGCTAATTTAACAGCTGCAGTGATTTACTTAATTCCCTTGCTTAGCAGCATCAATTTTGGGCTCCACTGTGGTCGTAAGTCGAGGACTACCTGTACACGTAGTCAGGACTACCCATTAGAAAAATAAAAACAAACCAGACCAGGCAAAAACTGATGGGCATGAGAGACTTTTTCTTGATGAATTTCAGGAGAATCACAGCATGATTAGACAAGCTTAAATTGAATGACCAAGTTCCTTCCCTGTACTTTGACTAATTATATTTGCTTCAATATAGCATTTCCAAATAATCTTGGCTGTTTGCATTTACAAGGAACTATTTCGGGCCTTAAGGAGAAAGCAAGTAGATTCATTAAAATGTCTTATCAAAAAGAAAGAATTCATAAAATTTCTCTTGCTTTTTCAAGTCTTAACTAGGCCATTATTCACAGAACACAGATGCCTGCAAGAAGATTAGAACTAAGGATAACATTTAAAATATTTACTAGGGCGTAAGATATGATTTAACAGCCAGCTTGATCTATTGGCTAACGCACCAGGTTAGAAAGTGAGAGGCCAGGAGTTCTAGTCTCACTTTAGGCAAGAAAACTGGATGGGTGACTTGGGGCAAATCACTAGGAGACTGGGAGTTCTAATCCCTTTATAGCAGTGTTTCTCAACCTTGGCAACTTGAAGACGTCTGGACTTCAATTCCCAGAATTCTCCAGCCAGCGAATGCTGGCTGGAGAATTCTGGGAGTTGAAGTCCAGACATCTTCAAGTTGCCAAGGTTGAGAAACACTGCTCTATAGACATGGAAGCTGCCTGGGTGACTTTGGGACAATCACCAGGAGACTGGGAGTTTTAGTCTGCTTAGGCACGAAAGCCATTGGGTCACTTTGAACCAATCACCAGGAGAGTATGAGTTCTAGTCCCATCTTGACCCAGCTGGGTGACTTTGGGCCAATCTCTCCCAGCCCAACCCACCTCACTCGGCTGTTGTGAGGAAAATAGGAGGAGGAAAGTATATTTCGTATGTTCACTGACTTGAGTTGTTTGTAAAAATAATAATTGTGGGAGACAAAACAAAACAGAAAAAGTGTCAGCCCCCTACCACCGAGACAGCATCTGGGGAAGCTACGAATTACAGTTAGTTAGGAGTTGAAGGACCCCTTTCCCCTGGTTCTGTGGGATGTCTGCGGTGGAATCTCCAATCGTCATCTGAGCTGCGCCTTTCACACCGTTGGGCAAAATGGGTCCAGAGGCCGGTGTGGGCCAAGCCCATGCAGGGGATGGGTGTCTGGGCTTGCCAATGGCTCAGGACCACAGAGGCTTACCACCTCATGCTCCCCAGCTCACCTCTTTCAGAACCCATTTTGCCCAATGGTATGAAAGGCGCAGCTCAGATGACGATTGGAGATTCCACCGCAGACATCCCACAGAACCAGAGGAAAGGGGTCCTCCAACTCCTAACTAACTGTAATTCATACCCCCCCCCCAGATGCTGTCTCCGTGGTAGGGGGCTGACACTTATTCTGTTTTGTTTTATTTGTCTCCCACAATTATTATTTTTACAAACAACTCAAGTCAGTGAACATACGAAATATACTTTCCTCCTCCTATTTTCCTCACAACAGCCAACTCAGAGGCCTGGAGCTGCCATTCAGGGGAGAAGTCTGGGCCAGCTGCCAAGACTCACCGTCCCACCTACACAAACTGAAGAAATTCATGCTAACAATCCATGATTAATTGCCGGATGGTTTCTCTCTGGGTTACAAGGTGACAGGTGTGCACAGGCACGGGGTACAGCTATTCTTAATTACCAATGTAGCTATAAAAGGTGGTGGGAAGCACAGGGTGGCAGCTCTGACAATTTATTCATTGCCTTAGTGCTTTGTTGGTCAGTTCCTGCCGAAGGAAGAATACAAATTGCATTTCAAACCGTTTCTGTGTTTGGCTGGTTTCATTTACCCTTCGGAACCTGACAATAGGTACAGTAGCTATTGAGGCCCTGAAATTTATTCTGGAAAATATTTGGAGAGGATTTAGACAGTAAAGATATCTAAAGAGATTTTGGGGGGGGGAGATAGTTGAAATTAAGATGGCTGAAACATATGGGCATATGGAAAGAGAAAAAAAATTGATCTTTTTTTTTTTAAACTTTACAGCAATCTAACGAGGTAGCCAATTCTTTGGAGCCCAAGGCGGCCAGAGCCATCGCTTTTTTTGAAGCCGTGAAGAAATGTCTGAGCCAGCTAAATTTTGAAGTATTTTCAGAAACCCTCCGCCAATACAAAACAAACCACGATTTCGATGCTATGTTATTTCAGTTGAGTGGCCTTTTCTTGGAAGATCAAAACACCCACACCCTCATGCGAGGTATTTGAAGTGCCCAGGTTTCTCTTGTACCAATAGTATGTATGAATACCAACGAGGGATTGAATGGGACTTGCATTCCTTTTGTTGATACTTTGATTAACGCTTTGTTGATATTGTTTTAATACAGTTCAAAAGGCTTGCTTCTGCTGATTGCATTTGCATCTCTGTGTACAGTATTAGGGATTATGATTCGTAACAGGGGAGGCATGCAGCGTAACATGCACAGTAACCATTGTGGCTAACACACACTTTTTTATTACTATGGTTGATTGTACAGTGCACAGCTACGCAGGGACATGAAGGGGGTGGAATGCTGGGGGTGGGGGGAGTAAGTGCTGTGCTTTCTCTAGGCACTGCCTCAAGGTCACCCAGCTGGAAGGAAGAGAGAGCTGCATACCAAACTATGCTTGGAAACATTTTGCCTGAACCTGATTGGTTACATCAGGTTGCGCGATAAGAGACAGTTAAGGAAGGGAGAAGTAGAATTTATGGATTTGGGGCGTAATTCTCAGTTCTGGCTTTGCAATACTGCAATACGTTTGATCACTAATAAACTATACCTTCTTTAACAAATGGAGCCAGGGGTTGTTTCTATTTAGAGGTGTATGTTGGGGGCAGGTGTGATATATACTAAATCATTAGCAAAGTTTGATGGCACCACAATGCTGGATTTGCACAGGCTAAAATGCACGCTGCATTTGGGGAGAAACGGGCCAGCATTTGACCCTGTTACTATCATTTTTCCTTCTTTTTCAAAAACAAAAAAAAATATTTGCCAGAGTTTTACCAATTTATTCGGCCTCAGCACAAAAAGCAGTTTGACGAAGCTTGCTCTTCCCTGACTGGCATCGGTTGCGGATACAAACCCGAGCACAGCCTTCTGCAAGAAGATAGATTGTTGTTGGCTGACAATGCAGGTGAGGCCATCTTTTAGCAGCTGGCAGCTCTACCAAAATGTATTTTTCGTAGAAACCAACCCTTTCCCAGGAAAAAGTAATCAAGCCTCTGCCAGAATAGTATCCTCTTCCAGCCTGTTTTGTTTTTGTTGAGGCTTTTCTTTTAAGCTCTCTCAAAAGAAAGCAAATCAACCCTGATGAGGAAAAAATGTCTAGGCTGCTTTGCCAGTTTGTTTGTTTTTCATCAGTAACTGATGAAGTCCCTGGATTTAAGTTCTGACTCTTTCCAGGAACTTCCCCTCCCACCTACCGTCAGCTACCAATAAATGGTTTTTTTTTGTTAACTCTATTATTTTAATGCTGAAAGTTTTAACGTTTTCAATTCTTTACTTGTCTACACAGGTAGTCCTCAATTTACAACCATTTGTTCAGTGACTGGCAGAAGTTACAATGTCCCTGGAAAAAGTGACACGTGTCACGTGATCAAAATTCAGGCGCTTGGCAGCCGGCTCGTATTTATGACGGTTGCAGTGTCACCAGAGTCACATGATCATCTCGTGACACGCAAAATCAACGGGGAAGCCAGATTCACTTCATAACTGTGTTGCTAACTTAACTGCATCGATTCACTTCACAACTGTGGCAGGAAAGCTCGCAGAATGGGGCGAAACTCACTTAACAACATAAATGTTGGGCTCAATTGGGGCTGTAGGTTGAGGACTACCTGCACTGCTGCCCTGTTTCTTCGAAAATAAGCCCTCCCTGGATAATAAGCCCAATCGGGCTTTTGAATGCATATGCTAAAAAAAGCCCTGCCCTAAAATATTTAATAGCAATAGCAGTTAGACTTGTACACCGCTTCATAGGGCTTTCAGCCCTCTCTAAGCGGTTTACAGAGTCAGCATATC